TTGGTGGCTGGGAGGCCAAGTAGACCATTCTTCCTTGCTAGTCCCATGCCTTCATCCCAGTCTAGAGAGTTCCTGCACTGTCTTTACTGGGGGTTGGGGAAAACAAAAACCCTAGGCTTGGATCAGACCAATTCCCTCTTCAGCCAAGCCTTCATTCAAGAGCATGGCTGGCTCTAGCTGATTCCAGACTGGAAAAGGGCCTGGGGGGAGGGATTCAAGGGATCAAAAGATCAAGAGTCATTCAATCAGTAAGTATGCACTAATTACCAACAAATGATACAATAAATATTTATTGTCTACTCCATGCCTAATAATGAGGTGGAGGTAAAGGGAGTGTAAACATTCTTAGCCATAATGCATTCCTGATGCCCATCCTTCTCAGCACCCGCCTCTCCTCCTAACCACAGCAGCACTTTGTACCTCACAGCATTTGCCACTTTGTACCGTCTTACAGTTAGCGGTGTACCTGTCCTTCCTCTGAACAGTAAGCTCTTTGACAGTCAGATTCCTATGGGATCTACTGAATACACCTGAGTGTTCCACATAGCAAATGAACAATAAAGATTGGTTAAATCCAAATTTAATAACTTATGTTGATCAGGGTTTGAAGAAATAGGTACTCCCGAGAGTGGGAGTGTGAATTTGTGCAACTCCTTTCAAGAGCAATTTGGCAATATCTATAAAAAACTTCACTGGGGAATTTTTCTGATTTGCACATGTGAATAAAGACAAATACAGAAACACATTAACTGCAAAATCCTGGAAACAAATCTAAATAGTTATCATTGGAAAGTCATTAAGTAAATTAATTGTTCCATAAAATATAAATCATTATTTAAAAGAGTATAACAGGTGGAAAGAAATCAGAACAGTAGTTGTCTATGGAGTTGACTGGGAGGGGACATGAGGGAACTTTCTGGGGGGAAATAATGTTTCATACCTTGATTAGAGTTTGTGTTACGTAAGTGTAAGTCTTTATCAAAACTCATGGAATAGTCCACTTAAAATCCGTGCATTTCATTGCAGGCAAACTTAACTTCAAAAGAAAAAAGTTAATTGTAAACTAATATTTAACTCTAGTTACTTTTATGCATGTGGAAAGGTTGAGTAAGTTACCCACAGTCACACAGCTAAAACCAAGATTTGAAACCTGTTTTGGCTATCTCTCAAAATATGTGCTTACCCACAATGCCTCCCTGTTAACTCGTATTTAGGGACATATTCATGTGGGAACCTTCTGCCACTATTTGTAAACATCTCTAATAAACACAACGCTTTTTTTCACTCGGCAACAACCACACTCAATTTCTCATATTCCAGAATTGCTTTTCTGGCTTAGTGCTGAATATCTGAGCTTGAGTGACAGCTTGAACCCCATTATTCACTCAGTTTGTTCCCAGTGAGCTTTGTACAATATTACAACTAGTTCATGAGGCTGATAATGTGTACTTATCCTTATCTACTTCAGGATTTATGATTTATTGGAACATTTTCATCCTGGAAATATCAATATTGCTGACCTCCTGGCTGTTAAACCATTTCTCCATCTTCCCTACATATTTGGAGGAGCTGGGAGTAAGGGAACTGACACAGACAGAGGGAAACACACTCTTGACTGAGTCAAAAAGTCAACATTCTGAGTTTAATTCGACTTAACAAATCATGTTCTTCTCTGAGTTGGTTTCCTCCTCTGTAACATGAAAATTATAATCACACTTACCCCACATATTTGTTATTAAGGATCAGATAAGATTATGGATATGGGCCAAATCATTTCTACATTCTAAAATATACACATATATATTTTACCATCAACACCCTCATAGAAGTCACCTGCACACTGGGCTTTTCAAGCCATTCAGTTCAAAGTGTTATCTTTTATATCATTCTTTATTAGCTCATAAAAGATAGTGTCCTGATACACAGCCTGAAATCCTAATTTCCCAATTGGCTGCCTTTGCTGTCTGAAGGGCAGCCTTTTCTTAGGATGTCAAACAATGGGAAAAACAGCATCTAACCACTCCTCCGGGGAAGAATAGAGTAATGTTCTTATACTATCATAGGGGTTTTGTCAAATTGTCATTATTAGGAAAGCCAAAAAGAGTGCTACAGTCAGATGACATAGTGGTTAAGAGCTAGATTTCTGGACCTGAACTGAAAGTTCAAATCTTGACCCCACCCTTGATTAGCTATACATTTTCCTCAACTTTCAGGCCTCACCTATAAAGTGGACATAATATAATAGTAACTACATTTCATTACATTATATTTTAAATTACTTAATTTGTGGAAAGCATTTAACAGTACACACAAAGCACTCCACATTTGTTGGCTACAAGTACAAAGCAGACCAAAAAACAAAAATCACGGAAAATTACGGAAATATGGAGACGCAGATCATCACACAGTGGCAGGCATCTATTCCCTTCACGGAGAGCTTGTCAGTCATCCTCACTTCTCCTTCTTCCACCTGACCTCCCCCTTCTCTTCACCATCATCCCCAAAAATGAAGTAGGTATAGTGGGCCAGCAGAGAGGGCTGATCCAACCTCTACCAAGATGGTTTGTCAAAGGCAGGCAAGTAGAAAGTGGAACAACAATTTAATTAAGGGGTTTATTCATATTTTGCTGTGCACACTAAGCTGATGAAGAAAAAAAGGCGAGTAAGACCTTTGGGAAGCAGTCTGGCCATATGTATTCAGAGCAGTAAAAACATTCACATTGTCTCAATAACAACATTTCTTAGAATTCAACTGGAGGAAATAATCCAAAAAGAAGGAAAAATTACATGTAAGAAGTTCATTTTAGCATCATATATTAAACGGCTTTATAAAAGTATATAATTCACCCTTTGAAAGTGTGTGACTCAGTAGTAGGTCTTTTTTTTTTTTTTTTGTATATTTGGAGTTGTACAAGCATTGCTACTACTTGATCTTAAACATATTCATTATCCCCAAAAGAAATCCATTAGCGTTATTCCCATTCCTCCCTCTCTCAGCCCCTAGCAACCACTAGTCTACTTTTTGTCTCCTGAGACATTATTTTTGATGACCAAAAAAACTGAGTAAGATAAATTCAGTGTTACTGAGTAACATAACACACAGGTGCTATGTTAAATTGTGGTATATCCATTCAATAAAATATGTGGCTGTTAGAAATTACTACAAAAGACTGTATCAAAAGGTGAACATGATACAATGCTTAAACTTTTAAAAATATATCTCAGTTTTAAATATATTTGATCGCAACCAGAGTATATTCTGGCTTGTATGTGGAAAGACTAGAAGAAATGTGTAGAAATCTTAAATGGCCCATGTTACAAAAATGAGATTATGGATTTTTTTCTTTAGCCTTTAAGCATTTCTTAACAATTTTTTTTTACAATTTAAACTCTTTTAGAAAATGTATTTAAAATTATTGGCATAGAGAACATAGTGAAGGCACAGCCCTTAGTTCAGCCTTTCTGATTTGGATCCTGTTCCTATCTCAGTTAACAAGTCTCTTCTCTAGTCTAGGAACCAAACAGCCAGGAGCTACAAAGGTCCCACCTCTCCCAAAATGGGTAACACTTCACCAGGTAACCCTTGGGCCCTGCCCTTCTGCCCACTTGCCTCTCAGCCTGCATGTCTGCTCTCCCCTGCCCCCAATCCAGAACTTCCTAACAAAGCCCTCTGACTTATCATACATACCAATGACTCTTACCCCATTTCCTTCTATTAATATATTAACTGTAGATCTAAATCCTTCTGATTCCAGCCACACTTCTCCCATTTGAGCAGAATAGCAAGGAAATGGGTGGAAACAAAATAGCAAACAGCTCCCCTCCCACTTTCCATTCCCACTTCCTGCAGAGACCCAGCTCCTTTAGAGCACACAGCCTTGCTGCTACTTGTCTTCCCTCTCCTACAATCTGGGACAGAATCACCATCCATGTCCCACCGCCATACATACATACATACTTACCCCTCCAGGCACACTTGTCCTTGCCCCGCTCCTCATTCTCACTCTCCTCCCTCTCTCACTCACACACACACACACTCCACACAGCCTCTGCTGCAGCAACCCTGGCTATGCCCTATGACTGCCATGCCATGCCCCTCAGTTTGTCCACTGCTGTCACACTCTGAAGGCCTATCTATCCTTCCCTTTATCTAAAGAACAAAGTATGCCTCCAGCCACTGTGTACCTTCCAGCACCTGCCTCCCAAAGACATACTTCCTGACTCACAGCTGAAAAGAGTGGGTCCTGGACCTCTAGTATGTGGCCGTCTTCTAATAAAAGAGTTCAACTATAGTTAGTGAGCACCTACCATGTGCCAGGAACCACATTCGTTTCACGGATTCAGAAATGATTGAAACTAACCAGTCACCTTGAAAAGCTCACAATGGAAAAAAGGTATGTAAACAGAAAATTAATACATAAACAGGTACAAGCTGGGACATGGGTCAGAGGGAGTCCCATGGATACACTGTAGAGACAGCCTCCACAGCAGGTATCGCCTCCAAGGTGGCTTTGGAAGAATCAAGAGTTAATTATTCAGAAGCATATACACAAACATGTCTTACAGGTCTGCAGAAAACAAGTTCATTGAAAGGCTAGTTTAGCAGCAGAAGCAAGACACAGTATTCCATGCCCACAGCAGTGCTCAGTGTGCAAAGTAACAAGTGATCTATGAGATTAAATAAACCATGGTCTCTGCTCCAAGGAACAAAATACTTAAAATATATAAGGCAAAACGACTCAGATTTGTGCATTGAGAAGAAGGGAAAGGAAAGGTAAGTTTAACTCTGGTCCTAAGTACAAAGATCATGGAGGGTGGGGGAGAAGGAGCCTCTTTAAGGCACTGTAGCAGGTGAGTTCAGTGTAAAAACCAGAAAAAGCAAGGTGGGGCAGTAACAGATCAGCCTTCAGCAGAAAAGGGGAGGAGGCAACCTGAACAGGAACGCAGGTATTGGGGCAGAAAAGTGGGCGGGGCTAGTGGGCTCTGCCTCCTCCCCGCCTCTCGCATCTCCCACAACCTACTTTCAGCAGAATCGGGTCAAGACAGGTGAGGGAGGAACTCCTAAGGCCGGTGAGCAGTAGGGTCATTGGACTGGGGCTGGGATGTGAGGAGGGGGTCCGGACCCTTTGTAGAGTCCACAACCCCTTGCTTTCCAGAGTTCAGGGAACTCCTGCCAGGCTGATTTTGGGGTACGGGCTGCCTAAACATTCCTGCTGTGTTGCAGAAGAAAGAAAAGGCTTCTCCCCACTGGTTGCCCAGCCTGTGTTAGCTCCTGGCAGGAAACCTGAAATCCGAATTTACTGAGTCAGGGCCAGTAAGGGTGGGAAACCCTGGCAGACGAGGGGTGTAGAGAGGTCAGGAGTTGTTTGGGCCTCTGTCCATTGCCCTAGGCCTTTGTCTGGAAGATTCTCTGGTGTAGTTGTGACCCTGTGGCTTTGATGTGTCCCTGGGCACTTTTTCCCTCCAACGTGAGCATGGGCTGACTGCAGGAAATGGGAAGATGGGGTCAGACAGGGAAAGTGGTGCTCCGTGGCCGCTTCTCTACTCAACAAGGTCAGACTGAGGGCTTCTGACTGGGGAAGTGGGGTGGGGGTAGAGGGCCTGTGCAAGCAATAATAAAGGGCAGGGCCTGCCCCATCACCTGGATTCCAGAGATGCCGGCAGGTGAGCACCGAGACTGCAGGCAGGGCCCGCCCAGAACTGGGTCCTGGAGGGTGTAGAAAAACAAAGCTGCAAGGGAGACTGCAGGGGAAAAGGAAAAAAGGAGGAAAGCAGGGCTGACACGACGCGAATGAGAACTGGGAGTCAGAACTCCTGGGCTGAGCTGGCTATTCCACACATACTGCTACCCTAGGATAAGAGTGTGATCCTAGAGAGAGTGACAGAGATGGAGGGGACCCTGCAGATCATTTATTTTGGCTTTTGATTTGAGATTGAAGAACCTGAAACCCACACAAAGGTGTCTAATATGGTTACTTTGAAATCTGACCCAGCCCTGATGCCAATTGCTAGTTTAGACACAACAGCTGTGTGTCTCTTTGCAGGAGCCTGGGGAGGGGCCATGGTGCCAAGCCAGTTGTGGGGGAAACTGGAGAAGCCGCTTCTCTTCCTGTGCTGCGCCTCCTTCCTCCTGGGGCTGGCTTTACTGGGCATACGGCCGGACGTCGCCCCTGTTGCTTATTTCTTTCTCACCTTGGGTGGTTTCTTCTTGTTTGCCTGCCTCCTGGCCTGTTTCCTGGAATGGGGGTTCCGGCCTGAGAGCCCAGGGGCCTCAGGCAATGCACGGTGAGTTAAGGTGTGGGCAGGATTCCAGGAAAACAGGAGGACCTATTGTTCCTGTGTCCCTCTAGACAGTTTCTGCTTTCCTCTGTCACTGGTATCAGTGAAGGGGGCGGGGGGCATCTGGAGCTACTGGAGGGGTCTTTTGCCAGTGGAAGATAGGAAAGGGAAAAAGGGGTCCCTTTCAGGAAGCCACCAATGACTTTATTTCTTCTCCCTCAGGGACAATGAAGCCTTTGAGGTGCCAACCTATGACGAGGCTGTGGTGTCGGAATCACAAGGCCACCCCCAAGAGCTGGATCAACCACCCCCTTACAGCAGCATTGTAACCCCTGCAGGACTTGAGGAGGGACAGGCTAGCCATCCAGAGGGGCCCAGGAGAGCCACACTGGAAAGGCGAGTGGGCTCAGAGGGGTCTATGACTCCAGGAAACCCTGAAAGAGCTCCAATCAGCCTTCGGCTTCGGGGACCACGGGTCGTGTCCACTGTGCCTGATCTGCAGAACATGGCGGTGCTCCCCAAATTGGAACCTCTTACTCCTCCTCCTGCATATGATGTCAGCTTTGGTCACCCTGAAGATGATAATGTTTTCTATGAAAACAACTGGACACCCCCCTAAATGACTTTATCACTATATAACATCTCTGCACCAGACCCACTCATTTATTTGATCAACGTTTCTCAGTGCCTGCTTCATGTCAGGAACCATATTTCTGCCTGGACGTCACAAATGGGGACTTTAACCCAGAGGAGTCAGGCTATGGTAAGCCCCTCCCAGTTGAGGTGTTGGTGGCAACATTCAGTGACCTACCCCATATCCGATATTCCCAAAGTTAGAGGCAGAGTAATAGGAGGAGGTGATCCAGAGAATCTGGGGAAGGAAGAAAAGAAACATCTGAGTGACAGCTGTGTTGTTTTCTGTTCTACAAGCTTTACTGCGTTTACATCAATTCGGCTTCCCAGGCTTGTTTGAGGTATTACCCTCTTTTAAATGAGGATTCCAAGGGTCAGAGAAGTTTGATAATTTGCACAGGAGCATACTGCTAGTAAACAGCATAAAAATCGATTGAACTCTGCTCTTCTGATCCCAACACCCATTGTGCTTTCAGTGCTAGATAATGGAAGCCGGGCACTGACATGTCTCTCGGTCCCAGTCTTGGACAACTGCTGGTCAGGGGTGGAAAGCCATGTAGACAGAGTGCAGGACCAGGAATGAATGCAGGCAGGGCGGGCTGATGTGCCCAGCCTCCAAGTGGAGCAAAGCTAATCACAGCTTAACGGTCCTGCCCCAGGTAGAGGGCAGTCTCCGGTGCAGAGCTCCCCTTCGTGAAGCAGTGGAATAAACTGTCCCAGGAGGAGGGGCTTTGATATTGAGAACGGGTGGATATGAAGAGACAGAAAGGATAAAATGTGAGCTTGTTGACAAGGGCAGGAAGGAGCCTCTAAAGATCCCTCTCGAATCAGCTATCATGAAGCGCTGGAGCCACCAGCACTGTGCCTCATCGCTTCGGCCTCACTCCTGTGCTCTGACCGCTATAGCCCCCCTGCCCTGCTTCCTCAGGTTCCAACACCAGATACTCTGGAATCCTGCGCTGCGGCTGTGATGTAGGTTTTAGCCACTAGGAGCTGCTCAGCCATCGCTGGCCCACCCTCCTCAGGGGTGCGCGCGCCCCGACTCAGGCCCTCATTCATTGCGCGGCTGTCCAGCGCCTTGTAGTGCTCTCCATCTCCTTACCCTGGCCCCAGAGTTCGACTTGAATAAAAAGACAAGGATGGCCACACCCGTCTCGACAAAGTTCTAGCAATAGGGGGGTGAGGCGGGCTGAGAGGCGCAGGGGCGGAAGCTGCGATTTCCGCGGGAACCGACAACCAATCGTATTCCCGCGTAGGACGCGGCAGCGCCTCGCTCTCGTCCCGCCCCTTCCCTTTCCGCAGGGCGCGCTCTCTGACCCCATTGGACGGGGCTCCCACCAGGCCGTCTCTGCGCCTGCGCACGCATCGGCGACGGCGGAGGCGCGGTCAGCCCAGCGTCGGGCTGGAACTAGAGAAGTAACGCGCAGACGCCTTGAGGGCCGGCGGAAGGGGGAGGGATGCGGAGCAAGTAGCGGCTTTTGGTTTGTTTGGGTTATAGGTGGTGCGGCAACAGCCCGGGAAAAGTGGGAGATGGCGGCGCCTAGCGCCGGCGCCTGTCCCGCCGTCCAGCCAAAGGGGCTAATGGCCGTTGACAGAGGGCGCAGGTGAGTGGCGAGGGTCCCAGAGGTCCTTGATTGGGCTCAGGGGGTGGGGACCGCGAGTGTCGGGCGTCGGGCGGTGGCCCTCCCACCTTTCGGAGTCCCTCCCACCCTTCGGAGTCCCTGGAAGCATCGGTGTCGATGGCTTCTTGCCGAGGGTGGGAGGCAGGGCTGAGCCCGCGAGGGGCGCGCGGCGGCTGGCCTCCTCTTGGCCTTGGCTCATGAGCAAAGAGACAGGCTCGCTTTGTTCATCCCAGGAGAGCCAAATCTCGGCCTCTCTTAAAGATTCAACACCCTGCCTTACCCCTGACTCCCCTTCTGAGAAACTTTGCTCTGTTAAAAACCGATGAGATTTGCAGACCTCGAGGTTCTGCTTGAAGTGCGTTTGATTTGGTTTGAATATATCATGACCCGTATAGCTTTGGATATGATGACCAGGTTTTCAAAGCACAGGCTTCGGGCGTTCAGTACTTTGAAAGGACACGGAGGTTCCTGAGGTTTCGAGTGTGTCTTTGAGATCATTTCATGGCAGACATCCCCCGGGATAATGTACTTTAATGCCTCCTGGTCCAGGCCTAGAAGATTAATGGAGGACTTAGGAGCCCTGATCTGCAAAGGGACACAAAATCACGACTTTAGAACTTCCTTTGTGTACTTTTCCCCACCCCCTCCTCCCTTTACAGATGTATTCTCAAGTTCGAGGAGATTGTGGTTACTTTTGGAAAATTCACATTTGGGACTCTGGGTCATGTGGAATACAGGGAGGATCAGATGTGTGGAGAGTGGATTATTCTTCAGATGAAACCTAATGAGTGATTGAAAATTTAAGTCTAGAACTTTAAAGCGTTAAAGGCTGGGAGTCAGTGAATTGTGAGTATGGATGAGATTGAATAGGGAGAGGTTTTTTGACGGGGCTTCCTATGGAATATCAACATTTAAGGCAAAGCATAGTAGCAGAGAGAGGAGCTGAAGAGAATGGTGTCATGAAAACCAAGGGAAGAGAAAGTTTTAAGGAGAAAAAAATGCTACTAGTAAACTAAGGGAAGAAACCTGAATGAACCTGCTCCACCGTTGATTATGTATCCTAAGGAAATACACAGCATATCCACCCATGTGTGATGTTATCTTGTGGTTGGCCTAATGACACTTATTTTTACCAGAGTTCATGTATTACTACTTCGGTGTGTTCTAAGGTGATTCTTAAGGTGATCTTTTATTTCTGTAGATCGTGTTGTTATGTAGCAGGTTTTTACAGAGGATCTGGGGTAGCACACGTTTGAGTATAGAACAGAAACAAGAAGTTAAAATGGAGTTTCAGACATCACTGTCCTAAACCCAAAATTTAAACCAAATTGGCTGCTTTCATGGCTGAGAATGTCTTACCATTTCTTCTGCCTTACAATCTCTTCTTAGGTTGCTCTCAGCTCTTCCAAGACTGCTTTTTCCTCCTCTGTATAAATCTCTAACCTAGAGTTAAGCCAGGTCCATCCTATAAATGCATGGTAGTTCACTGATTCTAAGATACACATTGTAACATCTTTGAAATCAGGAAGCATCTTTAAATGAGTTTTTAAGTTATAAACTGAAACTATTGCCTTATCCCTGTCTCACTGCCATCAGGCCCCTACTGTTCTCATGTATTTAGAAACTGACTAATCAGGCTGGAAAGCTCTAGATGTATATAAACCAGGCACAGTGATGATATATATTGGAAATGGGATTCTTTTAGTTCATAAACAGAAGCTGGTCTCCTTTCAAACCAAAACTAAGACATCCTTGAAATAAAGATATCTCTAGTAAGTAAAATTAATTGCCAAAATAATTTAGCCTTTGTATGCTTTATTTAACTCTTTAAAGATTTCAGGTTACACTGATTGTGTTCATCACTGATATTCACATACTACAGCTGTCTGCCATACTTTCTGCTTATCCCAGGTCTTACAGATTCTGATAATTTCTAGTGTCATTTTGTCGCAGGAAAAAGTTTTTAAAAACATAGTTATAAGTGATATAAATATGTTAGAAAGAGTCTGTACATCTGTCTGTCTCATTTATTGTTTATTAGAGCTGGCCACTGGCTTGAATTTTTGCCACTGTATCATATTATTTATTCCTCACCCATGAAATTATTAAATTTACATCACTTTCAGCAGCCTAGATAAGTAACATGAAATATTTTCTAGAATAATCTCTTAACTGAAATTGGTCTGTCAGAAATATTCCTTTTCATGAACATGTGTGCTTGTGTATATATTATTGTCAAAATAGATATTTTACCCCCTAGATAGACCATTCATCTCAGAAGATGGTCTCAGTTGAATTTACTCCATAAAGAGTACATCATTTCCTTATGATCAATGTGTTCCTGCTTAGTACTTTTTTTATTTTAACCAGATTCAATAAAATATGCCTAGTATTGGTTATTGTAAGTCATGTTCTTTTTGTTCTCCTACCCACACCTCTTCCATTCCACTGTTCTATGCCAGATCTTATACTTCATAGCTTTGCTCTCCACCTTTTACCCATAGGCTATTGGGCGTGTGTGGCATGCATCCTGACCATCAGGAAGCCCTGAAAAAGAACCGAGTGGTGCTGGCCAAACAGATGTTGCTGAGTGAACTGTTAGAACACCTCCTGGAGAAGGACATCATCACCTTGGAAATGAGGGAGCACATTCAGGTATCTGGAGGCAAAAGATAAAAGCCAAATAAATTGGTTGTAGGAGTAGGAACTGAGTATGATTATGGCAAGGATGCAGAGTGCTACTGAGGAAATGAAAATGGCTCTTCTATCCTAGAGCATTTAACAAAAGATACTGATTCAAGAAGATAGGAAGGACTCTACCCCATCATGTATTTTTCCTGTGAAAGGAGTTCTTAAAATGGGTGATGCTATTACCAGGAAGCTCATCTGGAGAAATGGAATTATCGCCAGATAAGTGAATAGGATTTCATGTTTTAATCTTGTATCTTAGGCCAAAGTGGGCAGTTTCGGCCAGAATGTGGAACTTCTCAACTTGCTGCCCAAGAGGGGTCCCCAGGCTTTTGATGCCTTCTGTGTGGCCCTGAGGGAGACCAAGCAGGGTCATCTGGAGAATCTGTTGCTCACAACTCTCTCTGGACTTCAGCATGTACTCCCACCGGTATGGAGCCCAAGACATGTGTTGAGAAGGGTTAGTTTGGTGGGAAGGGGTTTTTGAGATAGTAAGGGAAACTAGAGTTTTGTTTTATGTGGACTGGACAATTTCCCTAAGGCTTGCTATGGTGGGTCCTGATTTCTTACAGTTAAGCTGTGACTACGACTTGAATCTCCCTTTCCCGGTGTATGAGTCCTGTCCCCCTCACAAGCAGCTCCGCCTGTCTACCGGTGAGAATTATGGGATGAAGGGCCCACCGACTGACTGCCCATTTCTTGACTTTGCCCCAGCGTGATACCTACCTATTTTCCCTCACAGGGAATAGTCCCATGAGTGAATTTGCTAGAGACCAGTAGGACAGTTTAGGTGGGGCATTGGTTGGGCCTATTTATCTTCCATCACAGATGATTTTTTATGGTAATTGGCCCTTGAAGCAACTTACACAAGAAATTTCTACACATGATTCACTTGTCTCTTCTATAAAGCTGAGTCATTTAGAATGAGAAAAGTCTACCTTGAGGGCCACTAGCCTGTGAATTGAGTAGCCTGGTGATTATTAGAACAAGGCTTTTTATCAGATATCCTGGTAAGTGGGCTGAGTACACTATATGGAGGCTAAGTGTAGAGGATCTAGTAGTGAGCAAAAGCAGATAAAGTCTCTGCCCTCGTGGGTCTTACAGATTAAGAGAATGAGCAAAAACAGTAGTTATTAAAATCCTAATTCAGAAGAGCTCCTGAGTTGCAGTGCAGTACTAGGATTGACATGTGAATTGTGGGCTAGTTTTTCGGCTCTCTATGCCATAGATAATGTGGAACACTCCCTAGACAACGGAGATGGTCCTCCCTGCCTTCAGGTGAAGCCTTGTACTCCTGAGTTTTATCAAACACACTGCCAGCTGGTGAGTCTTGCACAATGGCAAGAGGAAAGAGTTGGGAAATGGGGTACCTTTCCTGGGCATCCGAACTTAGTTTGCATATACATTTCCTTCCTGCTTTATCAGTCAAAGTCGTTGATCAAATGTCTCCTCTGGGCATTTCTCTATATTAACTTTACGGGGTTAAGAAAAAGAGTGTGATGTCTTTGTTTTCTTGAAATGTCTCACCTAGTTTCCTTCCTCAGGAAGCTCATGGTCTAATTGGCCTCCCTTTGCCAGGCCTATAGGTTGCAGTCTCGGCCTCGTGGCCTGGCACTTGTGCTAAGCAATGTGCACTTCACTGGAGAAAAAGACCTGGAATTTCGCTCTGGAGGAGATGTGGACCACAGCACCCTAGTCACCCTCTTCAAGCTCCTTGGCTACAAAGTCCATGTTCTACTTGACCAGACTGCACAGGTACTTGATGCAAGAAACACTGCGTGTACCTGAGAAGGCCAGGCAATACTTTGGGGCCAGAAACAGTCGCTGCCCCTCTGTGTGCTGCAGTGTCTTTCTCGAGTTGTTTTCTCTCCTTCCTTTTTTACCCACTCTGTTATGCCTCTCTTCTGGCAGTCTAGTAAAAAAAAAAGAAAAGAAATAGGGCCAGCCAGCTGCTTCAGTGTTGAGTAATAATAGTCCAGGGTTGGGTTCTCATTTTTACATGTTCAGAAACTGGATTCCCAGTTAGTTAGAAGATGAGACTCTGAGATTCACCCAACCAACTCAGAAAAGGTATTTGTGAGCCTCCCAGGACGGCATGGGACATGTACTTCTTGGTTGATATTGCTACTTAGAAGTCCAGTTACTGTTCAAAAGATTATTTTGGCAGATAAAATTCTTGCAAATGAAAGCTTGCTACATTTATTCTTGTAAATACCATTTTGTGGCAGTTTTATGAGTTAACATATGAGGAAGTTCCTTACCTTATTCTTATGTTGTGTGGCCACAAGACAGATTTTAGGGTAGATTACTTCTGAACTAGATTCCAGCAAATCATAAGTATTTTCATTATATGTTATTCCCCACTAACATCAGTTACCAAGCTGCACTGAACAACCTTGTTACCTTTGAGTATTTCTGTTTTGCAGTTGATACTAGCCTGTTGGTAAATTGATAGTAATTCTTCATTTTCTTTCCAGATTAATAGTAGTTTACTAAACTTGCTAGTAGTCAAATAGTCTGGGAATGTCAACAGTAAAATTAAAGCTTCTAGGAGATTCACTTTGATCTGTTGAGGTAGGGAATCTTTATTTTGTCTTCATCGTTGTAGTATGTTTCTGTCTCAAGTACTTGCTTCTGTGAGAATGATTATATATGCTTTTGTTAAGGCCAGTTTTGTCTGTAAGCATCCAGGTATTACATACACTCTGTTTTTACCGGCTTCTCAGTAATAGCGCACACAAAGGAATGAACCCACCCTTGCTTCAAAGCCATGACTGGCACAGCTTCTTTAGTGATCAAGCATCCAAGGGCGTTATAGGCTTTCTTGAGGAGCCTGCTGGGCACAAAGGGAGTAAGGGTGGGTCATCTCCCTAATTCTTACAGAGGAACTGTTAGAAAGTAACCCAACAAAAGAATGCAGTTGATGTTTCTTGAGAAGTTTTGGTCTAGCTGTTTGTTTTGTTAGGAATTTATTGTGTCATGGTTTTCTAACTCTTATAAAATTGTGAAGGCATTTTATATTGACAGTTCAAGATGTAAGCCAGAATCACCCCATTGGCTGTATAGTACTGTTTTATAGAGACGTAAGTATATTTGAGGGGCCCTGAGCCCCCTTCACAATACCATCCCCATTTATAGTAAACCTGATGTAGATACAGGAACCTATTATGATTCTCTGGCCACATCATTCTGCACCTCAGTTGTGGTGGTTAAATTTTGAGCACCTTATAATGGGACAGGGACAACTGTTAGCCACCAGAGAGACTTCAAGGTGTGTATCTTGAGTTCAAGGAATCTCAGTTAGATGAGGAAGCTTGACATAGCAAAAATGGAAGTGTGTCCCCTTATATTCCTAAGGACTAAGGATTATTAGTGTCCTCTACAGTAGTGAAGAGAAACAGTTGCCTGGGAGATATGGTCAGAAGGATAAATGAAGGGGGTCACTTGGGCTGCCTTGAAGGATAGAAGCCACTAAAGCAGAGAGGAATGGCAAAGGGATCCTAGGCAGGGAGTGCAGCATACAGACAAGAAATGAGTGTGTGATGTCAGAGGCCTAGTAGGCAAACCAAATGACTGGGGCAAAGAAGGACCAAAAATAAAATTGGAGATAAAAGGACCAGAATGCACAAGGCCCTTGATGTCTTCTCAGAGGAATCGAACTTCCTTGTTTTGACATTCGAACATCATCAGTAATTCTTAATAGAAAGGTGGTAATGCTCACGGTGGTGATTCAGGGAGATGGCTGTGACACTGCTGTAAAGAATGAAGTGGAGGCCAGTTGTGGGGGATCCAGTTTGGAGTTAATATCATAATGCCAGTACTAAGTGGGGGCCTGGACAAGATAGCAGACCAAAAGGGAAAGAATATATATGGAAATGGTATAATGACATGATTGTACTATCAATGCTTGATGAGTGAGTGACTGCATACAGAGGAAGATGGGAAACACACGGAATTGAGGGTCTCAGAGAAAGTCAGAACCACAGACGTCAAGGTGGAATTACTGGTGTAGGAGAGACACTCCAATGAGAGAGTATGAGATCTTTGACTAAGTGACTAGAGTAACAAAAGCAAATGCTTCAGACTGAACCTTGGGATATAACCTTCCCTGAAACCTAATCCTGAGCTCTGGAGATTTAAAAATGTGAGGAGGACGTTGCAGAATCAATTACTGACAGTGACCAAACACTCAGTTAAAATTAAAACCAAGTAGTTACAATGAGTATGATAACTTGGTGAACTAGGCATCTGCATGCAATGCTTTCTTAGTGGCAATACTTCTCAAGAGACTCAGTTCTTTTATCATATAATTATTTGGGAGCAAAGAACCAAAAAAGTAGGATCCTCTTTTCTCCCAGCCTTTACACCTTTTTGACTTTAGAAATAATCCACTTAAAAATCAGAAGTAGTGTAGCTTAGAGAATTAGAGAAGGGTGCTGGAAAGCATTCTGGTATCTCCCTACTCTCGGAGGTTTTCAGGTTTTCTGTTTCTCGTCAGTCTTTTCATTGCATCTCATGAGTTCCAAAATTGTGATTTGTCATATATTAGGAAACAATACACAATTTAAAGTGGCAAGTTTCCTTTTACCACGTTGTATTGGTTTTTTGACTTGCATTTGGTTTTCAGACTGCTTCGAAAATGTAGGGACAAGCTATGGGTCATTCCTAGAAAAGGCAGCTTCCCACGAAAGTTTGCATATAATTTCAGAGGGTTCATAGGTTCATCCCTCTTCTTGTGTCTTCTAACCCCCAGCCAAAAACACAAATGCTAGAGTTAAGTACCCTCCAATTGATAGAAGTACTGTTGTTTTATCAGAAATAAATCTAAAGATCCTATTTCAAGCTGGTCTACTTTTGGAAAAATTCTCGCAAATGAATATCCCCCTTTTATTGAATAGTTTAGTCATTAAATTCAGTTACAAATCTGGGTTTTATTGTCCTCTATTTACTAACCTAATAATCTCACTGAGTTCAAAAGGCTCATGAGTAGGTGCCAATCATATATTTTTATTTCCTTTATATGTTAAATTCTATTATACTCAGCTCCAAAGGAGCAGTCATACTTAAGTTTTCTCTTGAGATTATATATTCTTGAAATCAATGTATTTTGTGTATCTTATTACCTTAATATTTCCAATATTTTGGAATATTGGACTTCTGTTTGCCCATGAAGTATACATACTTTTCAGCAAAGCCAGTTTCTCCTTTTCCAGTTAAGTTGCAGGCTCTCAAGTCTTTTATATAATTGAGTCTCATTTATCTGCAAACAAATACTCCAAATAAATAGATCAGTACTTCTCAAACTTTAGCACATCAGAATCACCTGGAGGACTCGTTAAACCACAGTTTGCTGGGCCGCAGACTGGCATTCCTGCAAGTTCCCAGGTGCTGCAATAGGGACCACACTTCAAGAGTCAGTGCACTGTGTTAGGCCAGTAGGCTTCCCTGTGGTATCATCAGATGTGTGTGTGTTGTGACTGTTCTGCCTAGTTAGCAGATCCAGCTTTGTTATATTCCATAGCAATTCATAGTAAAATGAACTTGTTTTCTCTCTGCTCATCTCAGAGCAATACATTTTGAGTTGTAGAGGGAAACAGAGGCTTAACAATTTGTGTCAGATTCCTATGTTATTGATACAGTACAACTTTGCATTGGGTGGGCCAGATGCTTAAGGTAGACTGATACCCATGTATGGCAACCTAATGCAAGAAAAATGAGTCTTAAGTTGGACTACAAGGTTGACCAGTACTAAGTTTCTTTGAAAAACTGACAACATTGCTACTCTTCATTAGATGTGTGTATTATTGTAATAGCAGATATTTGCAATATGTGCTTGACATAGTTATAAGCTCTTTCTACGCAGTATCTCATTTAATCTTCACAAACTTCGAGAAAATTTACTCTCAATTATCTTCTTATAAAATGGGTATTAGAGCCTTGAGAGGCTAAGTAACTTGTTCTAATTTATGAACCCAGGCGTCTAACCTCATTTCGTCAGATCCTGTAGCCCATGTATATAGTCATGGCCCTGTTCAGATCCTCTGTACAGTGAATGTGCTGTTTCCTGAACAAAGCGTTTCATACAGTCTTCATCTCTCTGTGTGGGAACTTAGTCTCAGACAAAAACATCATGGAAGTACTGCTATTCTCTATTATCATGGTGATCCTGGTAGCTCTTTGTCACAGGGCAGTTTATTTTCTTGTGGCTGGGTAAGTGTGATACAGCTCACCTGGTGGCAGTTCATGTGCTATTTATATGCATATATATACATTATATGCTCTAAAGAAGTATCTGGTTGATGATTGGGGAATGGATAAACTAGTTCATGATTAGCCAGGAGTTCTTAACATATTGCAGTGAGTCTGAATTTCGTGAAGTTATATTCAGAATTCTGTGTCTGAAGTACTGTGAGTCAATAGCTTTTTTCAGCGTCTCAAAGGGTCTCTGACTTCTCTTGTTATTGACCACAGTAATATACAGAAAACATTTTATCTTCTAATAGCTTAGGGTTTCAAACACCAAAGGAAAGCTTATGTTGGTGCTGACCACAGTAAACAGCACTAACAGGTGTCTTTCCTACAGGAAATGCAAGAGAAACTTCAGAATTTTGCCCAGTTACCTGCTCACCGTGTCACTGACTCCTGCATAGTGGCCCTCCTGTCTCATGGCGTGGAGGGCGGCGTCTATGGTGTGGATGGCAGACTGCTTCAGGTGCGTGTTATCTTGTGGCTGGCAGCTATGGAGGCCAGGTCTCTTCATCTGCCTGCCTGTCTCTCCAGTGATGGCTGCTATTGTGTACACAGGACTCAGGAGATCTACTGTCTACTTACCCCCACTTCTCCCCTATTTCCTTCTGGCAGCTACAAGAGATTTTTCAGCTCTTTGACAATGCCAACTGCCCAAGCCTACAGAACAAGCCGAAAATGTTCTTCATCCAGGCCTGCCGTGGAGGTGAGTGCCCTGGCTGACCAGCACCCGGGTGGTGGCTCCTGGGCGGCCTCCCACCAGCTCTCACTTTGCTGTTTGCTCCTCTCAGGTGCTATTGGATCCCTTGGGCACCTCCTTCTGTTCACTGCTGCCACCGCCTCTCTTGCTCTGTAAGTGTCTCCCGATGCATGGGGTGTGCTGGGACTTGGGAAGCCCATGGCTCTCAGGTTGGTCAGCTCTCTGCACCGCCATGTCCTCTGCCTTCCTTCCTGAGAATTCTTCTTCTCCTGTGCTTATTTACTCTGGTACACTTCCTTTTGTTACTCGTTCCAGTTCAGGATTTTCTGTCTGTTCTTCCTATCCCTCTCACTTTATACCCTTCCTCTTTGCCCTTTCCATCTCTTTTCCCCCCTTTCTCTTTCTCCTCTTCTCTCTTCATCTACACTCCATTCTTGCCTTCTTTCTTCTCTTCATCATTCACGTACCATGCAGGATAGCAGTGCAAAAGCCCCATGTCAGCCTTTGGCTCTTAATTTTCTATGAGCTTTTTCCATCCTCCTCTTTCTCACATAAGGTGTTTTACCCCTTTAATAGCCAGGACTCTGACACTAGGCTCAGAAGATGTGCAGCCGTGCTTCTCATCCTGGAGGAAAACAGTGATAATTGAAAGTTCAATCTCTGGAGTCACATTCTGACTCTACTCCTGACTAGTTAGTTAGTTATGTTAAGTAAGAGAATTTACTTAATGTCCTTCCACCTTGTTTCCTTGATATAAAATACAGGTAATCATCAGACCTACTTGTGATGATTAAATGAAATAATACTAATGAAGGACTCAGCACAGTCTCAGGCTCAGTACAGCCACAAAAATCTCTGGCTATGCCTGTTATAATATGACCAGTGCCCTCAAGGGTTTTACAGTTTGACTTAAAGGTCACTTCATCCTAACATTCAAATTTTTTTATCTGTTGCATGTTCAACAGATGGAAATGGTTAATCCTGTTACTCTCGTAATATCACTAAAAAGATATAATTTATTAAAGTTCTGTAACATGACTGGGACTACACTAGGTACTATCACAAAAGCAGAAGAAAATGTGGTATCTCTCTAAAGAACCTACCAGTTGCTGGGATAATAAAGCAAAAACACATGAAGTAGCTTGAGAATAGTTGAAAGGCTCCAAGTAATCAAGGGTGAAGTCAGTGAC